GATGAGGAAATTGAGGTTCAAAAACACAATTAACAGGGTTGTGCATGTTATGCTACTGAAGAGCCACTGAGCACAGTTCTCTGTCAGGGCCTGGGGCTGGCCAGGTCTCAGCGCGATACACATGCCTCAGGTTCTTCCAAGGGTTGTCACCACTAGCTCATCTCCTGTAGGACACTCATCTCAGAAGCCTTGGTTTAAGGCGCACTTCCTCCGGGGCCAGGAAATAGCATGGATAAGTCAGACACTAGTGGGACCTCCACCCTGCAGAAACTAAAGATGGCTTTTCCTCGGATGGCTTTACCGAAGTATTTAGAAAAGCCAAGGCAGCTAGTCTCCACCACCACTCATCTGAGTAGCCTCCGTTACATGAGCAGCTACTCTGCTCATATTCAAATATTTACACATCTTCTCAAAGTTGCCATCCATAAAAAGGGCTGTAGCCTATGTTTCCAACATGTAAGTACAAAGGAAGGATTTGTTTTCTGGACACAAAGTAGCCACACAAGGATGACCAGAAGAGGGGCGTTTCAGCCCGCTAGACTCTCCTAGTCGTCAAATGTACCCCCTCAATGCCCTCTCTTAGTTTCCTCAGTCTCCTATCTCATACAATGTTTGTGGGCTCTCGTGAGCATTGCTCTGCCTTTTGAGTGTGAGTGTGTGTGTGTGTGTGTGTGAGAGAGAGAGAAGAGAGAGAGAGAGTGAATGTGAGTGTGTGTGTGTGTGTGTGTGTGTGTGTGTGAGAGAGAGAGAGAGAGAGAGAGTGAATGTGAGTGTGTGTGTGTGTGTGTGAGTGAATGTGAGTGAGTGTGTGTGTGTGTGTGTGTGGGTGAGGGTGAGTGTGAGTGTGAGTGTGAGTGTGTGTGTGTGTGTGTGTGTGTGTGAGGATGAGTGTGTGTGTGTGTGTGTGTGAGAGAGAGAGAGAGAGTGAATGTGAGTGTGTGTGTGTGTGTGTGTGTGAGTGAATGTGAGTGTGTGTGTGTGTGTGTGTGTGTGTGAGAGAGAGAGAGAGAGAGTGAATGTGAGTGAGTGTGTGTGTGTGTGTGGGTGTGGGTAGGGTGAGTGTGTGTGTGTGTGTGTGTGTGTGTGTGGGTGAGTGTGAGTGTGAGTGTGAGTGTGTGTGTGTGTGTGTGTGGATGAGTGTGTGTGTGTGTGTGTATGTGTGAGGGTGAGTGTGTGTGTGTGTGTGTGTGTGTGTGTGTGTGTGTGTGTGTATTGGGTAGTACCTGGATTGTTCCTTTCTCTAGCTGCTTTGGTCATTAGGGTAATTAATAGTGAATTCCCTCCCTCTTCCCTGTACTGGCATGTCAATGTGGCAGAAAATGAATTGCCTCTGGGAGGCAACAGTAAAGCATTTGATAAGTTTCATGGTTTATAACATCTCAAGCAGGTACTCTGAGTTGTTATTTAATGTAACTCATTAGGTTTAATGTGCATTTTAACTGCCTACTTGTGGACATTTTTGCTTTTCATGTAGTTGGAAGAACTTCATTTCACGACTGATTGTTACTCTCATTACAGCCTTAATAGTTTCATATTCTGGATGATCATCTTTTTTTTCTTGACTACTTCAAAAAGCTTTTCCCCCACGGAGAAACTGATATTATTCAACCAATGCTTACTGAGCAGTTACATTGCTGGCATGGAACAGGTGGATGGGAAGAAAAGGAAAACAGCGCTTCTGCCCCCAAGAGCTTACTACCTAGTTCTCCACGGGGTCCCCAGACCAGCAGGGCCAACATCATCTGGGGACTCTCCAGACCAACTGAATCAGAAACCCTGGGGGGACGCCCCTCACCATCTGTGTTTAAAAAAGCCCACTTCAAACAAAGATGATCCTCATCAAATGCGAAAACAACAAATAATATATTGTTAGCTTCTTGAGCTAAAAGTGTCATTTGTCCTTGGAGGAAACAGGTCCAGAGGCCAAAGGTCACATGAGGAATTGGTGATGAGACTGAAACCAAAACTAAAGTCTCCCACCCGACATGGCCAATGTTATATTTCTTTTCTGATGCTTCAATCCCTAAGTCTCACAGGGAGCCGCAAGTATGACTGACCCAAAGTGCAAATGTTGCTTTTCAAAGAAAACACACAAGCAGAGAAACTACTGTCTTTAAAAATAAGGGCCACAAAAGAAATTAAAGCCCAATCTATCAAAACCATCCAGAAAACCAGCAATAATTTTCCAAACCTTTAACACAGATCCAAGTTTCACTTACAAGACCTAAAATTTGGAGGGGGCAGGTGGCAGGCAGGGGTAAAAAATAAAATAAAATAAAAATTTAATTAATTAATTAATTAAATTTTTTTTTAAAAAAATTAATTAATTAATTAATTTTTTAAAAAAAAAATCCAAAGAATAATGTGATCAGAATAAAGTCTGAAAAAATATATAATATGCAATGGTTCACCTTCTGTGGGAGAATTACAGATGTCCTTTCTTTCTTTATAGTTTCCCGACTTTTCCCCGATGGTTAGATATTACTTTTGTATTATAATAATATTTTTTTTTAAATACAGTAAAACTGTTTCATGCATGTCACTCAACATGAAGGTTTATTTTGTAATCCTATTTCTCTCCATAGAGCAGGACAGTGTGTGTGTAGTAATTATTTATATCGTGCCATATGTCACAATGAAGATGGAATTTGGTAAATATATTCCTTCCAGCTGGCACTGAAAATGAAGAGGTTAAATGCTTTCCTGGGTTCAAAGCATTCCGAATTAAGATGAGCTAACTGTGAGGCTAAAGGAAAATTAATCCCAGCACTGACATCTCGGAGAGCATCTCTTTTGAAAAATGTTGATATGACACAGAGCTCCTTACTCATATCTCCCTGATGTTTAACCCCTGGCACAAAACAGAATGTTCAGCAATTCCTGGCAAACTCGGAAGAGTTGGAGAGATAAAATGCCTGGGAGAACGTCAGAGAAATAAGAAACAGAATGATCCTATTTTCCACATAAAATTCTGTCCCTGTGGCCAATCAGACATCCAAAATGACTGGCAAATTATATTATCCTAAGTGTCCTCCTAGAGACTTATTGATCCCAGCACAGTGCATACAAATGTTGGATTATGACGCTCTACACCTGAAACCAATATAAAATTGGGTGTCAATTGTGCTTCAATTAAACATTGGTTTTCTTTCACAAGAAATGTTTGTTCATTTAGAAAAAAATATCTATCTTGGCTATCTTCTTTTACAAAATTGCTCCCAAATAAATAAATGTCTCATTTAAAGAGATATTTCTGCCATTAAAGCAGAAATGTTGTAATGTTTCACTTGATAAGAAAAAAAATTGTCGTTTGAAGAAAAACTAGCATTGTTTTACCGAAGCTCTCAGCAATATATCAGTGAATGTTAGTTTAACTTTTTTAAAGGAGAAAGGGAAGTAAAGTTAAGAACCAGCATAATGAGAATGAAAAAGGAAACACCAGTGGCTACCTCTGTCATCAAAATCCCTTACAAAAGTGACATTTCTAGAATTTACAAACACTTTCAGGAAAGGACAAGTTATTGGGGGTGAGGGATATATACCCAATGTTTATAGTACATAAAATCACCATATTCACACAACAATTTAGCTTGACAATAATATCAGAGAACTCAGAAAGAATCTTATCATCTTGGTTTTCTCAGTTCAGCATGAAGTTTTGCTTATAAAGGTGTACCTCCAAAGAGTCTCTCTCCAATTCCTCTCAGTCCTCAACTCACTCTGTTTCACAGGGTAGTCCCATCCATTGCAAAATTAACCAATTAATAAGAAGAATGCATAGCATAAAGAACATACAAAAAGTCACAGAAAGTTTTTCACCAACTCCCCAGTGCTCCCTCCATATATTGTAATTCCCCATCTGCCTATGAACATGGATCTGTAAAAGCCTTAACATGTTAAGGTAAACTTTAACAGTTTCCTTTCTGTCTACCACTTTGGACAACACACACACACACACACACACACACACACACACTTGTAGCTCAGTTTCTAACTCCATTTGGACACGTACAAGTCCAGTTCTTCTACCTGTCATCCCCCTCTGGTGAGACAAGAGTCCAAGGTTAGGCTTTAACTAATCCTGCTTATTTCGGCAGTTTTACTCTGGGGCTGCTAAAAGATATTGAAGAAACTCCTTGCAGATCTAGCTCCTAAGTACTGATAAACACCCAGGGAAGGATTCCAAGCCAACACTAAGATCCAAAATACCTCCAGTTTGTAGCATGGAAATGCCACTCCTCTCAACAAGAGAGAAAAAAGTAATATTCCTTCCTACTCCGCCACATTTTAAAATATATATACAGCAGCTTTCCTTCTGAACAAAATTAAATTTTCTGGGTCACTTTCCCTGTCCTCTCTGGGCCACTTGCTACGCAGCCCGATAGTGACTGTAAATACGGTCTCTTCAGGCAACCAGCTTAGCTGTCACCCTCTCCAGAGAGAACCCCTGGCTTCCCTGTCTGCTGCAGTTCCCACAACCAGACCCCGACACCTATCCCTACCGCTTGCCGGCTCTTCCTCCAAACCACAACCAGGCAAGCGGATGCAGAGGAAAAGTTCAGGACGGTCTGCTTTGGAAGTAAAGCTGCCCTAACTGCCACCACCCAATCGCCGGGAGACTGGACGTCCCTGCGAGCACCTACCGTCTGCACACGCGGGTCCCAGTGGGTGAGCGCTTCCCGCCCCAGCCCGGGAGCATGCTTTCCATGCAGACCTGCACCCATCCCACACAAGTCCGCACGCCAGCTTGCCTTGCCACTTACGTAAGCCCGTGCCTCTACAGTCCCAAACTGTGCACACCACACACACACACACACACACACACACACACACACACACCGACACTTGTCACGTATCTGAAACGGACCGGCATCCACACCCAGGCTCTGAAATGACATCAACCCACAGGGATGGGCGGGTGAGAGTGGGGACGCGCCGTTTTAAAACACCTTTCCCCCCACTTGTTTCTACCCCATTTTTTTGGGCACAACTACAATTACCTTAGCAACCAAAGAATTGCCTTGACTCCCCCCTCCGGCTTCCGAATTTGTCCTAAAGCCAAGCCGGCGCCAGGTCCATGGGAAAGCTTAGAGAAGCCCAAGACACAGGGATCCGCAGCCTCTGGGGGGCGGAGGGGACGGCTGGGTCAGTCTCCGCGCTGCTCTTGGCGAGTTTCCGGGGTGGAGAGCGTGGGGACTCAGCGGGCGGAGCGGGGAGCCCGGAGCCGGCGAGGAAGAGGAGGCGCGGCGGGGCGCATGGTGCCGGGGCGCGGGACGCCCGGCCGTCTCCAGCGCGCTCGCCCCAAGCCCGCGGCTCCGCGGAGGTCGGTCTGCGCCCTCAGCCCCCCGCGCGCTCCCGGCGCCGCCGTGGGAAGCCGGCGCCCGGGCGGAGCTCTGGCCGCCGCCGCCGCGCAGGGCCGAGCGCAGGAGCTGCCCCAACTCGCGGAGCCGCTCCGCTCGGCCGCCCGGAGCCGCCGCAGCGGCGCCCGCTGTCGGGTGTGGAGCGAAGCTGCAGGCCGCGCCGCGCGCACCTGGGCGCCGGCACCTGCGCCCGGTCCCGGCGACTGGAGGTGGGCGGGGCGGGGCGGGGTGGGGCGGGGCCGAGGCACCTGAGCGCGTCCCTGAGGCCACGCCCCCGCGGCCACGCCCCCCGGCTCACCTGCTTCCAGCGCTGAGGGCCGTTGTGCATGGAACCAAGAGTCCAAGGAAGAGGCAAAAAGCCTAGAAATTCCTGGCGCTTCAGCCAGGAAAACCGGCAGATTGGCTCAGCGATGCAGAGCTGGGCGCGTCTGGAAACTTCCGTGGCGTCAGGTTCGTCTTAGGGAGCCCTGGTCCGACGCGGTTCGCTGGAGAGTCTCGGAGCCTCTGGCTGACGTGGGTAGCTGGCGCCCTCTAAATTATAACGGGCCACCGCCATCCTCAGGGATGCTGTTACCAACCTCGTCATTCTTATTGATTCCACATTCACACCACAGGCTGGATTTGGAGTCTTTTATGATTATTCTTATCTGAAACACCACGAAAGTATTTTCGAGAACATTTAGCAGCTCTGCAGATATTCTTAGGGAAAGAAGAAAAAAATGTTGAAGACAGAAAATTAGAAAGGGAAACTCGCTCGAATGGATGGCATTCTTTCATGTGGGAATTCTGAAATGTGACGTTTAGTTAAAGATCCAGGGAATTGCATGTGGAAATAAGAGTGTTGGTGCTGCCCTGACCGGTTTGGCTCAGTGGATAGAACGTCAGCCTGTGGACTGAAGGGTCTCTGGTTCATTTCCCGTCAAGGGCATGTACCTTGGTTGTGGGCACATCCCCAGTAGGGGGTGTGCAGGAGGCAACTGATCGATGTTTCTAGCTCTCTATCTCTCTCCCTTCCTCTCTGAAAAAATCAATAAAATATATATATTTTTTAAAAGATTGTTGGTGCTAACTGGTAACCAGAGGATTGGTGTTCGATATCAATATTATCAATATCAACAATAAATTAAAGATTTATTCTTTTATTGTATTGGTGGGCAGACACTTGAAATAAAATACCTAAAGCTTCTAAGGATGGATGACTTGGACTGTCTTCATCCATGAGGGTCCAGAGGTTGAAATTTAAGGTCTCCTTTCCTACATACATCTCCCACCATTCTCTATTGATTAGGGGATGTATTAGTTCTTTCATAAAATATTATATATTTGATTATACATATTCATATTATACACACATATGCACATATATTTCTGACATACGTGATTTTATGAATATAATTTTTATAGATATATCAAATGAGAAACATAACTTTATAAAGATATGCCACACGTTTTGCTAACATGGCAAACAAATTGGTTTACATAATGGGAACCTGAGAAAACAAGTAAATATCTCAAAGATTTTGGGAAGAAGGTTCTACATAGTTGGAAAAGGGAATTACAGGTATAGGAAGGGGAAAGAATAGAATAAACCCAGTGGTGTAGCTTAAAATTGTAAATTATGGTGTGAAATTATTTCTAATTTAGACAAATAAAAAAAATATATTTTTATATAAATATATATTTTACATATTTATATAAATATAAATATAAATATAAATATATATATATATATATATATATATATATATATATCCTAGCTCTGTCCACTAAGAAAGCCTACAAGCAATAGATCAATTTTGCCTCCCATTAAATCATGAAAGAAAAAATGTTCCTGGTTAGATATTTTAGAAAAGGGTTTTTAAGGGTGGCATATACATCGTGTGGGGTACTTATTAAAACTTAGCAATACAGATTCTTGAGCCCCACCTCAGACCTGTTGGCTTGAAATTTCTAGTGATGGGATGTAGAAATCTGCTTTTGAACAAAAACGTATGTTGGTTCCCAAACTGGCCCCCATACATGGAGGAGGACAAAGAGAATCCGAAGAAAAAGGCAGACCGCTCAGATTGGTAGGTGACAGGTCTAACAAGCAGCGGAACTTGCATATGAGGCTTGTCTTGGGCAGCTGCGAGACAGGTAGATCTCCACACCTGTCCACCAGAATTTTAAAAGTGGATGGGAAGTCCTTAACTGGCTTCAGCCACATAGACATACCACCCAGGTGTTCTCAACAACACCTGTGTCCCTGGAACACTGGAAACATGGGCTGAAGGACATTCCAAGGACAGGAGAAGGGGTGAGGAGCCTCTGATTGCCTGGGTCCCTGGGAGGGTGGAGACCAACCAGGGGTCCTCTTGAGGACCTCCTCCAAAACTTTGTGACCAACCCACAGCATAGGGTATGCTTACTTTATAGCATTCCCGGCATTTGTTACTACTAATTACATGATCTCCTCAGGAGGGGTCTATGGCGGGCAAGCTGATTACAACATAGAGTGGATTTTTTTCCTTTTCTGTAGGATGACAGTTTAGCACTTGATCAGCAGTTTTGAAAATCATGCTTCTAGGCACGGTTGTGTTTATAGCATGGTGCTGGAATGACAATGCTTTGAAAATCAGGAGTGATGTTACGTCAGAGTGGAATGCATATTTACAAAGTCCCAGTGCTTACTAATCAGGAAGCAGAGGTATGGATATGTATAATTAATGCATATGGAAGCAAATTTACATCAACAATAACAAGTTTTTAAAAACCATCCCCCAGCCCTAACTGGTTTTGCTCAGTGGATAGAGCATCGGCCTGAGGACTGAAGGGTCCCAGGTTCGATTCCAGTCAAGGGCATGTACCTTGGTTGGGGGCACATCCCCAGTGGAGGGTGTGCAACAGGCAGCTGATTGATGTTTCCAGCTCTCTATCCCTCTCCCTTCCTCTCTATAAAAAATCAATAAAATATATATATTTTAAAACTAGGCCTCAAATAACCATGCAATTCTCTCCACACCAATTGTTTAGGCCAATTCATCAGGTCACCTCCTCCGCACTGTTTCAGACACCACCCTCCAGGATCTTGTGGTCAGAACTGCTTGTGTGATGTGACTTGACGACTTGGACAGATCGCCTCAACCATCCATATGTGTTCCTCACTCCTGCCCCGCCCCCTCTGCTAGATGCTGGGCTTCCCACAGTGTTTCATAGTCAGTTACCAGCATATTAGGTTAGGACCAAGGTAAGTAGTTAGGGATGTGCTTCAACAAGTTGGATCCTTCATTGAGGCAAAAATCTGTTGGTGATAGACTCTATTAAAAGCCTCAGTCATATAAGACCACAGGTAGCCCCCCCCCCCCCACAAAATAAGAACACTGAAATTGAACACATAACAACACCCTCAAATTGGCAAAGCTCTCTAAACTTCTATGAAAGAACATTGATTGGCCGCTTCATGCATGCCCCTCACCGGGGATGGAGTCCAAAACCCGGGCATGTGTCCTGACTACGGAATCAAACTCTTGGTGCATGGGTTGATGCTCAACCACTGAGCCACGTCAGGTTGGCACCGCTTTCTTCTTAAGGAGAACCATCTTTTTATTAACTTAAGGCCTTTTGCGGGTATTTAAGACCCAGAGCTCAGTTCAAAGGGTGTTCTCAGCCCTCTTCAAAGGGTGTGTGCCAGCTCCTCACTGAACATCTAAAGAACATAGAAACAAAATGTATGCCTTGTGCCCAAGCCAAATTCTGAGCAAATGACCCTGTTTCTAAAGACAACAGAACTGTACCCTGTGCTCAAAATAAACTTTCCTGCAATGTCCTTTTGTCCCTTTTCACACTATCACCCAAAACCCAATAGCAGTTTTCCCTTTAATCCGTAGAACGTTTTTCATCATCCCCCAAAGTTCCCTCATCCCACTTTGTATCTAGTCACATCCCTCCATCCTCAGCTCTCAGCCATCACTGATCTGTCTGCTGTCTCAATGGTTTTGCCTCCTCTAGAATGTTATATAAATAAAATTATACAGTACACAGCCATTTGTCAAGCTTCTTTAGCTTGGCATAAAGCCTTGAGATTCATCCAGATGTTGCATGTAGCAGCAGTCCATTCATTTTTAGTGCCCAGTAGTGTTTCACTGTGGGATGCATCACACACAATTCATTTATCTATACCAGCATGTTTTGATAAGGAGCATGCTTCTGATGTGCTGTTCTCCCAGGAGGCCATGACCCATTTGAACTTTACTGATACACATCATATATAAATAGACTTTATGACAATGCTGTTTGCTATCTACCAAACCCATTCACTACCCCGTCCCCATCCCTGACCCCCTCAACTCCCTCCTGCAGCCATGACTCAGGGAAGAGGACCTACTCCCGTTTAAACCAAAGTGGATCTTCATTAGACTAAGCTGCATGTGGTGGTTCCATTTCTGTGGCCATGTTGTAGAGCTATGACCAATGAGACTTGATGGAAAATTTCCAAGGGGCTTCTGGAAAAGAGCTTCTTCACCTCTGCTCTCCTGACCTCCTCAGTCCCCACAGCCTCCTGACTGTGGGATCAGAAACTCACCTACATAGGCACCTATAGCAGGTAAGCTCTAACAGAATTTTCAATGCGTTTTCAGGTTCCCATTTGTTGGCTTCCCATTGCATTGACCTCTGCGGCCGAAAAATAAAAAATAAAAAGAGCATGGAACCTTCTACAAAATACCTGGCCAGTGCTGTTCAAAACTAATAATGCCATTTCCCAAGGTGAAGAAAAGAGGAGGAGGAGTTATGCTGGAGACTAGCGCTCAGTCTTGGCCATGTTGGTTTGACATGTCTATTGGGAAGTTGTGTGTTCATCTCAACACTTTGGGGTAGAGATCAGGGCTACAGATATAAAATGGGTGGGATTTAGCTGAAACCAGTTTGGCTCAGTGGATAGAGTGGCGGCCTGCAGACTGAAGGGTCCCGGGTTGGATTCCAGTCAAGGGCAGGTACCTTAGTTGCGGGCACATCCCCAGTAGGGGGTGTGCAGGAGGCAACTTATCTATGATTCTCTCTCATCGATGTTTCTAACTCTCTATCCCTCTCTCTTCCTCTCTGTAAAAAAACAATAAAATATATTTTTT